TCCAGCGCGCATGTACGTGGTCAGCTGCGGTGTCGCCAGTTTAGGTTTTAGGGTTTGGGGGGTTGTATGGAAATGGAATAGAACGTGGGAAATGAAATGGAAGCTGGTACTATAGGGTGGTTGATAAGGGATTAGAGGTTTTAGGCTCCTACCTCCAGGCTCTCAGACTGTTGTGGGGCTTTCTGGAGAAGGTTGGGGCTTTGGGGCCAAGGTTTAGGCCTGGACCTTTGGACGAGGGGGTCCAAGAGCCTCAGGGTACATGAAGGTTATATTGGGATGGGGATATTATGAGATGTAGGGTTCAGGCAATTGTGCGATCCTGCGGTGTTCTGAGGACTCATCCGTGCACTCTCAGGTCTGTGGGCCCTTGTTGCGTTCCAGGATGGTGTGGCACCCAATGTTTGGGCATACAAAATGAGCGCTGATGTTGAAATATGCCTGTCTTACTGACCTAACTAGAGCCTTCATTATTACGGCTAAAAGCGCTGTGTATGACTTTGCGGTGCTTTGGTAACTCTTTGGTCCGGCGAGCGGCTTTGAGCCACATCTCGACAAGTAGAACAGCGCTCTTGGCATGTCACATGCGCGGATTTGGATCATCATAGCCCCTGCTTTGGGGCTTTAATCGACAAGGATCATGACATAGCATGTTGGGGGGGAGGGAGTGCTTGAGGTTTCTTCTGGGAAAGGGCCTGCAACAACGGGCCAGGCAACATACACTGCGATGGGAACTACCACTATTATACAATCACACCCATTCAAGTCCCTTGTTACGCTCCCTTGAGATCTCTCCTCAAAGACCCCTCCACTACTCCCGTCCTACAACAACTAACAACAATTCTTGTCCTGATTGATTGCAAACTCTGTGTCGTCAATCTTGCCCTTCCTCGGCTCGGCCGTGCACGCGAGTCTCTACCAAAGCAAACTCAAGCAAAGCCCGCTCATGATCTGCTCCCAACATACAGGATAATCCTGCTTGGGGGAGCCGCGTGATGAACCCGCCATGAAGGTAAGGGCACGCTTTGTCAGCCCAGGATCTTCAGGCTCTCAAACTGGGCATACAAATAACCATCTGACCCAGCTTTGACGATCTGGAAGCCGCCACCATCAACCTTTTGTTGACCTGGTGTTGCACCGTACTAGACAGGGTGTGAGGCCTGGTGTTAAGAAAGCATCCTGCCTGGCGGATAGGTCTTGACAATCTCTTCCAGCTGCGCAGAGGCATCAGCGACGCTGGCGCCATCTGGTATCTTCCATGGCTGGAGAAGCGTGGTGATCTGGGGGTCCTGGACAACAAGCATTGGCTGAAGTCAGATAGACCTTGACATTGGCTGACACGGCGGCCGACACCTCTGGGTCGCCGGTGGTGGAGAAGCAGTTTGGCCCGTAGCCACATCCCTTCAGCACCGGACCATCGGATTTGTCTCCGAAGCGATTCCTTAAGTACCCACACACCCATCTTCACACATCCCCGTGTCATGCCATCAAAACATGTTGAAGTCTCTTTGCCAAAGGTTCAGCGTGCGCGGCTGCAACCCAAGATCATCTGGCTTGTTGCCTGGAGATCTCTTGTCGGGGTACTTGGCAACCTCTGGTAACCTTGCATCCGGGGTAGGCCATGTGAGTCATTCTGGCTTCACACGTTCTAGGGCGAAGCAAACACAACCTTGGAGGGGAAATGACCGTGCAAGCTGGCAGTTATCTTGCAGAAAGAGGTGTCGCTCACATGGAGTGCAGTCAATTACTGCTTTCACCTGGGTCCGCTTCACTATCATTCACGGAGGCTGCCCGCGGTTGACCGATTCGTACGATTCACAATGCGAAGCAACCGCATGCTCATCTTCATGCTGGCGAGGACTCTATGAAGACGCTGCATGTCCCAATATATCAGGATCTCTGTCAAGGTGTGCAAAATCATACCATCGACATTGTTGGCTTGATGGCTAACCGCAAGCATACGCACAAGTCCATTGGCATCAAGACCTCAAGTCCTGTCCTACCCAGGGTCTACATGCACAAAAAACCTTTCAAAGAACTCGCTGCCAGCAGAAACCAGACACCTCCAAGGTCCTAAATAGTCTATCTGCAGGCTGAACAAATCCCCAGAGCAGCGTGAAACCCCTGGACGAGGCTACTCTATGCAAGAGCATGAAGAGTCCCAGCAATTTCAAGCATGAAATTACCACTGATCCTAGCACTTGTGTTGTTAACGGGCCCACATTTAAAGAAATTCTTGGTGTAAACTTAACGTCCAAGGGCTAGCTACATTTATGTGGCTTTTCGTATGGGGATAGGGGACTACATCTAAAGATTTTTTCTGGGGAACCAATCCTGATAATAGAGATCCTCAATACATTCCTATTCATTTTTGAATTAATAGAGGTCTAAGAGCCCCAATGAGGTAGGAATGCATTCCTATTCTGTTCTAATTGAGTTCCAGGAGCCCCAATCATTCTTTCAATCTGGCGACCTCAATTTCTTAGTCTGGCGGGGAGTGTCCCCTCCAAATTAAACGTGCTAGGAGTATGAAGGCCTCTACCACACAGGACACCAAGAAAACACGACTTTTGTCAGTTCCAGGCGCGCATTTGGAAAGGCTGCTCGAGCCGGCAGAGGCAGCAAGAGGCCCAGGTTCAAAAGCAGGCCTCGACGCGCCACGCCACCTCCGTGCTTTACCGTGTTGGGCTGTTCAAGTCATTCACAGAGGGGTTCCTGCAAGTGACCACATAACCTAGAGTAAGACGCACCATGACGACCGGCTTAGGTAGCAGCTAGGATCCCTGCGGTCTCGTTCTTTGGGCTCCATGAGACATGATGCGCTCCCATGGGCTAAGGGGTCTGGGAGCAGTTCAATGCTTGAGCCATGGTGTGTTTACGTCTATCCTTTTCCAATCCTGCTTCTTGCACCTAATGGGCTGACATTCAAATAAAGAGTCAAAACTGTACCAGACCATATCAGACCCCTTGCTTGGCTTGCCTGTTCTGAGTATATAAATTGCCGACTGCTCGTAGCAGTTGTGTTGCGCAATTGCTTTTGAGAACCCGAAGAGACCTCTTACTACAGGGTTTCCCAAAAAATCTAGGTATCATTTTGGGGGGATCTCTATTGCAAGGGCTAATGACTAATGCCGGATTTGGAGTCTACATTGGGGTCACCACCTTTTGGGTAAACTACCACAATCACCTTCATGATCCACATCTGGCATAAGTACCCTCGATATTCTCCAATGGAAGCTTCACTACGAACATGGTTCCAAAAGCCCTACCTGTGCTCACCAGCCCCCAGAATACAAAACTGCAGCAAGGAGACTGGTATAGGCGCACCCGGAATACTTTAGGAGTGCCAGAGCACAGGCCAGCCACATCAGCTGCCTGACAAACGCTTGCGGCAGACTGTGAGCCCTAGGCTTTCTGCAAAGGTAACATCTATATACCACCAGTTTCCATTTCATTTTCCATGTTATTTTCCATTTTTGGGGTTATAATATGGTATAAGATCCCTGAACCCTATACCCAACCTGCCAAAAACATGCACCACAGGCTTCTACGCAGGTGTCAGCTCTGGTGTGCTTGTTTGTGATTTGAAGAAATAGTGCACCAGGGATGAGGGAACATGCATAGTCAATGCGTGAGCAAGCAGCTGCGGATGCAGTCTGGCGTCCTGCTGATGTGGGACGTGCGCTGGCGATCCGACCGACGGCGTGATCGCATTGCTCCGAGGTCGGTTTACTATCTCAGCACTGCCTTGCTTTCGGGACACTAATTGTAGAGGACTTCAATACACCACATCCTACAGGAGCGCCTGCACCCAGATTGGACAATCTCCTGAGTCAACTTACGATGCATGGGCCATGGCATCTTTGCATTGTCGCCTTCAGGCTTGAGCCGCAGCTTCACTAGTTGGCACTATACTTGCATGTTCAAGAGCATTCTGCGACATGCAGCGCTCTCAGGGGGTGATGCTAAATTTGTTCTGAGTTGCAGGCCAGAAAGGTCGAGCTGCAGCCCAGCCGCGCTCATGCGGCCGAAAGAGTTGCGGCGACGAAAATATCGCCACAGACATCGAAACACCGCAGTTGTGGCTGAGGTGCGCGATTGCCTGTACCTTTGCTTGCTGAGAAGCTGGGAACCGTCCACTCAAGTATGCGGCTGACACGGGGCGTTGCAGCGCCAGCACGCCGGCCATCAAGTGGGGTCCAATCAGCGCTGATGAGTTGAAAGGTGCTAAGACTTGTACGGCATGTGCAGCAATGGAGAGCACTGCTGTGACAGTGATGACCGACTCAGGTTTCTTTCGAGCAGCCCAGGGTCCGCCAATGCTGAGGCTGCTCATGGAAATCACCTCACACGGCCATGTCCAAGCTTGCCAGTCACCTGGTTTCCAGCCATATGCAGCCAAAGTGAACGAGGCGTTGATGCTCGACAATCCCGATGCCAAGGACTTAAACAGAACAGCCACCAGCCAGATTTGCAGAAATCTGCTCGAGACCAGAAACTGCATCTGCTCTATTGAGTGGCCCACCAACTGCACGTAAAGGCTTTTTGGCTTTGAGTGTTTAGATCGAAGTGCTGAGGGAAGAGTCTCTGGGACGTAGACCATCACGTAAATGATCAAAGTCGCCATTGCAGAAGCCATGCAGGCCCAGGTCAAGCTGAAGTCCTTTAAGATAATGGAAAATAAAATGGAAACTACTATAGTATGTCAGTTTTAGTATAATATGGTACATTATAGTATATTGTAGCATATTGTTGTATAGTATAGTATAGTATATGATATATTATACAACCATCTCCTTTACCTCCAAGGTCATCTCCTCTACAAAGATACCAATGGCAATCGCGTTGCCCAGAGCTCCTGTGGCCTGGGTCTTCACCAGGGGAACAAGGCCAAGGACATGTAAGACAGGACACTTGCTTAACCTTAAAATAAGGTTCTCTCAATTTGGGTCAGGCTGCATAGTATAGGGAGAAGGATGTGACCCGCCCTGCTGGTGTTTTGGCGATGTCTGCGAGCATGGACAGGAACACAACGTCAAAGGCACTTGTTGCTCCCTCCATGAAGAAGCACAGCGACATGGCGCTTGCAGATCCATGGAGCATTGGCAAAGATGCCACCAAGGCAAACAATAGGAAGGCCGCGAAAAAGCCGGTGAGTCCAAGTAGCAGAATCGGGCGACGCCCCATGCTATCTGCCATCAGTCCCAGCAAAGGGCCCGAAAAGGCATGCACCAACAACTTCATTGCCACTAACCGTCCCTCCTGGGCTTGCGCCACAGAAAGGACATAGTGGGAATTGCCACAGTGAGCCGAGCCACTGAACCTCGCACCTGGCTGCGGCTGGTCAGTGCATTCAACCATTGAGCGCAAGAACGGTCCATAAAGCTGCACGGCCAAAGTGAACCTGACCAAGGAAGGCTTGGGTACAGGTACAGGGTTCTCAGCCTCCCATCACTTCCAAAAACAAGTCTGGCAAACATCATTGCGCATCGCCCCGCCCCGCTGCTTGTTAAGAACATCCTGAAACCTGGCAAGTAAGCTGCCTGTTTTTTACCAAGCAGCAGCACGCTCAAGAAATTGTACGGCAATAAGATGTGCCACACTGGCTTCAACTGCTCCAGCAGCGTCCGAAGCCCGAGCACCTGAGATGTACTCCCCATGTAGTGGGGACAACGGCCAAATGACAACAAGAATACACCTTAGCGAGGATAGGGCTGGAGGTTACATAGACTTCCTCGAAAGGTCGAGGGACATTGGCCATGAGTAAAATCAGATTGAATCCTAGCCGGGCCATGACATAAGGGAAATAAGTTATCATGCGCTGACAACCTGCTTGTACGCTGGAATGTCACACAACATATAGCATCAATATACCCCCAACGGGCTCTAAGACTCACCTGGAAGTTTCCCTAAATTACTGTTCCCAAAATAAGGGAAATTTATATAGGGCCCCGTACTATAATAGGAATCTAAATATAGGACCCCGTATTAACAGTACTTTAGGACAATCCCCACCTAGGAAAATGCAATTCTTGTGTAGTACTCGGCCAACTACAACCATGCCCTGCCAGGCTGCTGAGGAGTCCAGCCGCATGCTCACGGACCGGCTCCATCATGGCGCTTCAAACCAAGCAGAAAAATGTATGGGACCCGCGCAATGCCTCCATTTGTTCTCGTTGCCTGTTATATTGTTCGCCTGATTCAGACGCATGTCTACGCATTCGTCACCCTCATGGGACACAGTCTCCAAGCGATGCATGCGAAGGAAGTTGAACATTGTGCAACATCTTGGCTTGCGGACACACTGTACTAGGAAACAAGGAATTAAGCCTGTACTTGGAAGGGTAGATTTGGCATGTGTCGCTGTGCCAAACCGCGGTGCGCTACGATCTAGTACCGCATGCGCTGGTCTCCCGCAACTTGAAGCAAAATCGTTTCGGACGCTTAACACTCCCCTGGTAAAATGCTGCTTTGCTAGGCTGCCCATGCCAGGAGTTTTTTTTGTACCTGATTGTGCTCCCTAATGTCGGATTCGGATTACAAAAGGGGGTCGTATTAGAGCGAAAATCAGCCCGAAAGGAATAATAAAAAGGGGGTCGTATTAGAGCGAAATCCGAGCTGAACGGATTAATAACAACCCAGGAACGGAAGAATGCGTGCTGGCTTCTGGAAACGCCCAG